CTTTGTCGAGTTTTGACAAATTACATTAAAGTCTTCCAAATATATTAGCAGACTTGGATTTTAATCTGCGAATCTTCTACTTTTTGGTGGATTCTGCATATTTTTGGTAAATTTGACTTTTACTCTGCTAATCTGCTATTTAATTAGCAGACTCAACATGTATTTGGTAGACTCTGCATAATTTTTTGTAGACATTGTTGAGATTTGGCAGATTACATCAAAGTCTTTCAAATTTACTAGCATATTCAAATTTCAATATGCTAATCTTCTAATTTTTTTATGAATACTACATATTTTTGATAGACTTGAATTTTACACTGTTAGTTTGCTATTTTATTAGCATATTCAATATATTTTTGATAGATTTTACATATTTTTTAAGACTATGAGTTTTGGCAAACTACACCATAGTCTTCTAAAATTATCACTATAATTGAATTTTAATCTTCTAATATGATATTTTTCTGTGTTGTTTTGTTAATATTGGATTTTAGTTGATGAAATATTTTCTCGCAAAATTCAGAAAAAGTTACAAACTGAAATCTCATATAGTCAAACATTTTATAAATGTGCAAAAGAAACAAAAATGAAAAGAAGTAGAATGGATAGAGAATCAATTTCAATGATAAATACCATAAATGAAAAAATTGAGTTCGACAAAAAAAATTGCTGTTAGACCAAATATACATTGCCATGAAATTTGATAAAATAAAAATAATCAATTGATTTGAAATTAAAAGTTATTTATTTCTTATTTTATTTTTCTTTTATTTATTTATTAACTAAAACTAATTTGTTATTGTTCAAATTAAATGAATAGTTATGTGTAATTTACAAAAACGAAATTAAAGAAATAATTATAGTTAAAAGGATAAAACTGGAATTATACATCACTGCTTAAATGATTAATAGGTTATATGAGTAATAAATAAAAAAGAGGTTATATTAGGTAATTTTCTCTTTATTTATCTATTATTATTCAGTTACTTCATGAAATAACGTGATTATTGATAAAACCATACGCAACTTGCGTGTGAAGAAACGCAATTCATGGAAAGAAGTTAAACAACTTGCGTGTGAAGAAATCAACGAGCAAGAAGATTTCATCGGAGCATCTGTCAGTCGCGTTGCTCCGTATCAGCTGAGGGAAAAACAGCCAAATCGAGGTCCCATATACAAACCCCATTGTCAGAAGCCAAGCCACCACCGGTCTAACGGACCACCTCTGCACAAACGCCGTCCTCTTCAGTGTCACTTCAGCCACCGTACAAACTCCATGTAGTACAAAGAACAAAGTGACTTCCCCTGTAGGCATCTCACGGGTCTGATAGAGGAAGACCACTTCGTGAGCCACACCGGAGAATATGAACGTGGAAAATACACCAATCAACGTAGCATAATTAGAGCTGATCATTAGGCATTGGCAGAAACGCCGCACAGGCGTGAAGACGACTTCACGAAGCGTAGCCGAGACGATGAGGTTCCAACGGCGACCCCAAAAGTCTTGAAGAGAGGTGGCTAAGTATGGTTCGTTGAATTGTGGCTCTAGGTTGCACCAAAGAATGATGGTCAACATATTTCTGAGGATGGCTAAGAAAACCTCAACTGACAAATATACATTAAGTGGATAGAGAAACAATAGCAGAGTGGGAGGATAGTTTTGTTTGTGGTGATAAACTTGTAATAACACAAGAGAGATTGCAACTTTAACGGGGAAAATCCATTTGAAGATCTGATCTTGAGATTTAGGGTTTTGTTGTTGACGCTGGATTGGGAAGCAAGTGAAGCATATGAATCGAAAGAGATTTGAGGGCAGTGGAAAAAGAGGACCTTTATTGAAGGAGAAGAGGATGAGTCTCAAATTAGCAACTCCTAGGAAAAACAATGTCAAGAAAGAGAAAACTAAGTAGGAGAAGAACAGAGGAAGAACAAGGAACAAAGCACAGACTGGCAAAATAGAGAGTAATCGAAAAACGCCAGATTTGATTCTAGGTGGTAACAAGTAACAGTAAGATACCGAGATGATTGTTGCAACACCTACTATGATCAAGCTCTTGAGTTCTTCCTCTATCTCTCTCATATTTTCCTTTTTTTTGTTGAGTTGTTGAAATTTAGCAATCATAGAGGGTTCTATATAACACTTTTTTTTGGCAACAACTACAATCTACCTTTTCGATTATTTTAAATTGATTTGTTTTTAAAAATCAGTCAAAAGTCTTTTAATGCATGCCTCAGTGTAAAAAGCCTCATTATGGTTTAAAACATAGGTTTGGCGTGTTGAGAAAGTAATCCGAATGAAGAGGATATTAGGCATGCATGTGGTTTAACATGTGGGCATGTGATGTTTTGCTTCTTATTTGCATTTCTGATCGTCAGATGCATGCCTTTAAAACATTTCTAAAGTACTAAAGTCTAGAGTTGAGTTGTATTGTTATTTAAGAATTTGTATTGAAGAAATAAACTTCTTACGAAAGTTGTCTTAAAACTAATTCATATTTTTACTACTTTTTAAAACAATCTTATACGGTTAGTTTTGCTTAAATTGTTATTGAGAATTGTCTCTTTCTTTTTATAATAACTATATTTTACTTAAGAACTCATTTTTGTATTCTTTTATTCTAACGGCAATATATACTGAGATGCCAACAAGTACATTGTTTAAACTTTTATTTGACTAATTTCAAGAAATAACGTGACTGATAACACACGCAAAAAAATCCATTTAGAAACACATTTCATCAAAGGAAATTTAATAACTTGCGTGTGAAGAAATCAATGAGCAAGAAGATTTCATTGGAGCATCTGTCAACCACGTTGCTCCGTATCAAGTGAGGGAAGAACAACCAAGCAGAGGTCACATTTACAAACGCTATCGTCAGCAGCCAAGACACCACCGGTCTCACGGACCACCGCTGCACAAACGCCGTCCTCTTCAGCGCCACCTCAGCCGCCGTACAAACTCCATGTAGTACAAAGAACAAAGTGACTTCTCCTGTAGGCATCGAACGGGTCAAATATAAGAAGACCGATTCGTGAGCCACACCAGAGACTATGAACGTCGCAAAGACACCAACCAACGTAGCATAGTCAGAGCTGATCTTTAGGCGTTGGCAGAGACGCCGCACAGGAGTGTAGACGCCAGCTTTAAGACTCGCCGAGACCATGAGGTTCCAACGGCGACCCCAAAAGTCTTGAAGAGAGGTAGATAAGTACGGTTCGTTGAAATGTGGCTCTAGGTCGCATCCAAGAATGATGGTCAAGAGTTTTCTGAGGAGCGTCAAGAGAATCTCAAGTAATAGATATGCATACAGTGGATGGAGAACCAATAGATGAGTGAGAGAAAGGTTTTGTGTGTGGATATAAGCTTGTGGTAACACTAGAAAGATTGCAAGTTTAACGGCGAAAATCCATTTAGGGTATTGATCTTGAGAATTAGGGTTTTGTTGTTGACGCTGGATGGGGAAGCAAGTGAAGCAGGTGAATCGAAAGAGGTTTGAAGGCAGTGGAAAAAGAGGACCTTGATCGAAGGATAAGAGGAAGAGCCTAAAATTAGCAACTGCTAGGAAAAACAGTGAGGTGAAAGAGAAAACTGAGAGGGAGAATAGAAGAGGAAGAAGAAGGAACAAAGCAAAAACTGGTAAAATAGACAGTAATCGGACAACACCAGGTTTGACTTTGGGTGGTAACAAGTAACAGTAAGATACTGAGATTATTGTTGCAATACCTACTTTGACTAAGCTCTTGAGTTCTTCCTCCATCTCTCAGATTTCGCTTCTTTCACTTCTTTTTTTTCAGTTGCAATTTTTTGGCAACAACTGTAAATGAAGTAGTATATTGATCTGTTTTTCAAAAATATTTAGAACTGTTTAAATTAATACGTATGTGTAAAAGTCACATTTTGATTTAAAACATAGTTTTGGCGTGTATAGAAAGTAACCGGAGTGAAGAAGATATTATAAGTTGCATGTGGTTTAAGAGGTGGGCATGTGATGTTTTGCTTCTTATTTGCATCTATGACTGTCATACGTAAGGCTTTGAACATATTTCGTTAGAGCAATAATTATTGGATGGAGAGTAATAATGAGTCTAGTCAATTGTATAATTTCTTTAACAAACTTGTTTGTGAAACTCTTTTCAAGTAGCTCTCGTAGCTCAGTTGGTTAGAGCACCCGTTTAGTAAGCGGGAGGTCTTGAGTTCGACTCTCAACGAGAGCATGGCCTTCTCTATAAATAATTTCCGATGTCACTCAGTAGACCCTTGTTCGGTGCCCGGCATCGGACATTTTTATTTTAAGAGGCCCGGTTGTCAATACATTTTGGTTTAGCTATTTTGTTTGTGTAAATCGGTATTGGTTTGCTAAACCGTTAGCTTATGTTCACCAACACCATAGTAGGCCTTCGGATGGACTTATATAATCATGATCATCATGAAGACTAGAAAGGCAAAATTCCACCATGAATGCTTTGTATTCAAAGTTTCCGACCTTTCTTCTTCCTGAAGTGAACTAATTTCTCGTAAACCCAAAATTACTAATGACAATTTTTCTCACCAAAAAAAAAAAAAACAAATGAATAAAGTAAAACGCCTAGATTCTAGTGTATGCATGCAAACGCCGCTTCATATGTCTGTCTATATGTTTTTTTTTATGGAATAACTAAAAAGAAATTGTTGAAAATGTCATGACCTTTCGCCTTCGTCTTCCTTTAAGTAGAACAGACTTATGGGTCAGATTTCTCTTCGTCTTCATTTTCGCTTGGCTTTGTTGTGTTTCTTCCGTATCAGTAATTTTGTAAAATTGCTTACTATACATAGCATTTGTTCGCCTTGTAAGCCAAGTAACGTCTATGTAGCTATGATCTGTTATATGAAGTATGGAACATACTAAGTTTTTTCTTTGTTAATTATGCTGCAGGAAGAATCTATAACATGGAGAGAGACGAGAAGATAAGTCTGGTTGATCAAATATTCGGTTGGTCAATTAAAGATATGCTCAACAAAGATATCTACAAGGAAGAGATAAGTCCAATACCAGACAAGTTTAGGTCCGTTGATGAATACCTTAATTGCTTTGTTCCTCTTCTTCTAGAGGAAACACGTACAGAGTTGTTCTCAAGCTTGAGATCTTTGTCGAACGCTCCTGTCTGTTACATACATTACGTGGCGGCAGGGATTATTGAATTTTCTGGTGGCTCAAAGTCAAACAATTTCAATATATCACTGATGAGGGCTAATGCAGAAGCAAATTACGAGCCGAAATGTGGAGATCTCATTGCTCTTTCAGATCAAGCAAGAAGACCAAGACGCGTCGATGACTTGAACCCACTGGTTCTTGGATATGTATTCTCTGTTCAAGATGGGCTACATTTCTCTGTATATTCGTCTACATCCTTATCCAGTTCATATCGTTCCGGTGTTTTTCTTATGAATTTAACCACAAATGTTCGTATATGGAACGCTTTGCACAAGGAAGGTACCAATTTGAGTCTCATCAAGAGTGTCCTACAGTCAAATACCACGGTATGTAATCAGAAATGATCATTTTCCTGTTTTTTTTCTTTAACGTGCAATGTACGTAATAAGAACCAAAAGCGTGACCTAGTGGTTTGTTCGAGTGGTTAATTATAGAGGACTCGCCCAATGGGTCAAAGTCAAGGATCAAGTTCCATTATCAAGTTCTATCTTAGCTACTGTAGACCTTAAATGACATGAATATCCCGATTTTTTCTGAATATTTTAGGGTTTTGGACGTATTGAAAAAAAATGATAAAGATGTGGAGTAATTGTGGTTTTTCTTGTATTTCAGGATACAGGGGAACCTGTTTCATCTAGGAATTTGGGAAATGATGTATTCGACATAATACATTCATCGAACTTGAACTCTTCACAGAAATCTGCAATTTTGGGTTGCTTAGAGACAGGGAATCCATGTGACAAGACTAGAGTGAAACTGATGTGGGGACCGCCTGGTACAGGCAAAACAAAGACTTTGGCTACTCTTCTCTTTGCCCTTCTCAACACAAGTTGCAAAACAGTTGTGTGCGCTCCCACAAACACGGCAGTGGTAGAAGTTGCATCGAGGCTCTTGGCGTTAATCAAGGAATCTTCTTCATCAGAACATTCTACTTACGGTCTTGGGGATGTAGTTATAGTCGGAAACCGAGCCAGAATGGGGATAGACAGCAGGAGTGATGATCTCGTCCATGTGTTTCTTGATCATCGCATTCAAAAACTGAGTAAACTGTTTTCTAGATGGGAACGGAGTTTGGAGTCAGTAATAGATCTTCTTGAGAATACGGAGGTGAGGTATCAGCTATATGTCTTGCACTGTAAAAGAAGGGGGTTAAGAGAAGCTGAAGAAAACAACAAAGACGTTCTTATAATATTTGGACAGTTTTTAAAGAAAATGATTTTTGGCTCAAGTGATGAAATGGAGAGGGAAGAAAAGATTCTTACATTTGGAGAGTTTGTGAAAGAAAAGTTTGATGGGTTAAGTGAAGAGCTGGAGAAGATTATGGTGGATTTGTACACACATATGCCTAAGTCTTTTGTCACATCTAATGATGTGAAGAATATGATTGAAGCCCGTAAAGCTCTTCAACGTGTCAGGCGCTTCCTCCAGGAGAATTCCGCTATAACATATTTCAAGATTGGAAGCTTCATATCCGATAGCTTCAACAAAGTCGCCCGTTTTTTTTGCCTTAGGTCTCTACGTTTGCTTCCGAACCGTTTTGAGATTGCCTCGATGGGAAACGAGGATAGAAGGAGGTTCTTCTTGCAACATGCACAAATAATCTTGTGCACTGCCTCGGGTGCTGCAGAAATGACCGCGGAACGGACAGGGTCTATAGAACTGCTTGTAGTTGACGAGGCTGCTCAGCTTAAAGAATGTGAATCAGTTGCTGCATTGCAACTTCACGGCCTGCGCCATGTTGTTCTTATAGGAGATGAGCTTCAGCTACCAGCAATGGTGCAAAGCGAGGTACTCTCGTTTATAATACACCAAACTTTATGGAGGTCTCTAATGTTCGTATGCAAAAATGATTTAAGCTGTGATTGGATTATAAAATGCAAACGTCAAATGCAAAGGGAAAGAGAACTTTTCTATTTATGTTTGGCGTTTGGAATATATGTTTTTAGAAAAAATTTTAAAATATAATTCATCTTTAGCCTGCAAACGTAGAGATTGAGTTTGAAACATGAATGTCTTTTGTGTAAATCCATGCAGGTATGTGAAAGAGCCAAATTTGGGCGAAGCTTGTTTGAGAGGTTGGTTTTGCTTGGCCACAAGAAACATTTGCTTAACGTTCAATACCGTATGCATCCATCTATAAGTCTTTTCCCCAACATGGAGTTTTATGATGGGAAGATCTCTGATGCTGCCATTGTTAAAGAAAGCAACTATCAAAAGAGGTTTCTTCAAGGAAACATGTTTGGTTGCTTCTCGTTTATCAACGTGGGACTTGGGAAAGAAGAGTTTGGTGATGGACATAGTCCCAAGAACATGGTTGAAGTTGCTGTCGTTTCTCAAATCGTCTCCAATCTCCACAAAGGTACAATATTTTATTGATCTCAATTGTACATGAAATGCATCCGATCTCAAACCTTACTTGGAAGGGGTGATTTATATATATATTATCAATAATTACATTTTTTTTATAAACAGTGTCAAGTGAGAGGAAGACGAAGATGAGCGTTGGGGTTATTTCACCATATAAAGGTCAAATAAGAGCAATCCAAGAGAAGATCGGAGATAAGTCAGATGAGCTTTTCACTTTGAATGTTCGATCGGTTGATGGGTTTCAAGGAGGAGAAGAAGACGTTATTATCATATCAACCGTAAGAAGTAACGGTAATGGAAAAGTAGGGTTTCTCAGTAATCGTCAAAGAGCAAACGTAGCACTCACACGTGCAAGGCACTGTTTATGGGTTATTGGGAATGAGACAACCTTGGCTTTGAGTGGTACGATTTGGACAAAGCTCATAAGGGAATCGAGGAGACGTGGATGTTTCTTTGATGCTGTTGATGACAGTAATCTAAGAACTGCCATGAATGAGGCGTTGCACAATGTCGACATGTCTGATGTGTTTTCGAGTTTTGGATCACTTTCCATCAGGAAAGAGAGAATAAATGCTTGGTAGCTCTTTTATCTCATTTTAGAGATCTTTATTTCTGTGATTTTCCAATGGAAGTTATGTGTTGGTTCTGTGAACTGTGATGTTTATGGATTGTTTCTTCCTTGAAAGTGAATTTCTGAATCCCTTTCTTGTTAAACAAGTAACTACTGTAATTGGGCAGGATCAATGTTCACATAATAGATGCATTTCAACTCTTAGGAAAAGCTTGATGTATTTTGTATTAGACTAGTGAATACAAATCTACGCTTTTTATAAACAAAATTTAGATGCTTAAATCATTTTCTTAAGATGAAAAAACACAATAATTTGCTTTTCTTAAAGAGTAAATTATCTTAAACAAACACAAAATGATGTAATAGACAGACACTCAAAGCCTCAAGCTATAATAATTCAGAACGTAAAGCAAAAGGAAGAAAGGGAGGGAAAAAGAGCCCTATCCAAATTCAGATAAAATAAACTGAAGACGGAACAACATAACAGTCAGATTTTGAGAACAGTCAGACTTTTGTCTCATGGCGTTAAGTCCCAAGCTTGCATGAAGGTAAGAAACGGAGCCGCGTTGCTTCGTCCTCCCATTCAAACCCTTCCATCCATTCTTTGTCTTGATAGTATATAACAGTTTCTTCGTCTGCAGCTCCACTACTGGAATCCAATGGTTTCCTTACCAGCCTTATAAAATTTTCTCTTACTTGGATCATACGTATACGTGGAGGACGCAAGGACAGAGGAATCCAGTGGATATCAAGTTCTTCAACCCGGACGACACTCTTTGAATCCAAGGGAAGCTTTCTCAGCTTGGGACACCCTGATATAGAGATTTTCCTCAAACATGGAAAAGGTAAAGGACTCGAGTAGATGCTCTTCAGCATCGGTAACTCAGACAAGTAGAGGTTTTCTAGTTTTGGAAAAGGCACGATGATCCTTACCTCATCCTCCATGACACTGCCCACATATTTCTCTTTACATATTATATCCCTTAGTTGGTTTGAGTTATTAACTTCAAGCAAAGTTAGGTTAGGGGCGAACAATAGCCACGTCAAATCCTTTATACCATTGCAACCTCGTATAAACACAGAGGACAGGTTTAGCAAGTATGGAGCTATGGGACCTTTGTTAAAAAACGTTGAAGTTATCCTCTCTATTTTTATATCCTCCATTCCAGAGTCTATATTGAGCCTTTGGAGATTAACCATGGCTGCCAAATTCAATACTCTCACTAATTCTTCTTGAAGGTATTGAATACGTACTTCTTTGATGCATTCCAACAACCTGTGAAAGGATAACAACATCTCTGCAACCGCACTTGACGTAATTTTTATGGTTACAAAATCTAGATAGTCTAAGCGCTCCAACTCCTTCATTAAGCTCAAATCTATCAAAACTTTGGAACTTCGTAGTCTCAGTGTCCTCAAACTCGGCAAATCTGATATCCCTGACATACTCTCAAGTTCCCTCGTGTCCTCCAAATTTAGATGTATAAGCTTTTTCAACTCTCGCAAACTACCAGGCAGTCGCTCTATGTCTGTGTATGATAAGTCCAGATATCGCAAGGAAACCAACTTAGATATTTGCTCCGGCAATACAGTGAAACCTCCATTATATGATAGATCCAAAACAAGTAGCCCACGCATAAAACTGAAGAATTCCTCCGAGATATTCAACGTATAGTTTTCCTGAAGGAGCAGAGTTGTAACTTGAGGACAGTTGGGACTACCACATAGCTTCCCCAATTTGTTTTGCATCAGCGACATTCTTCTCACAGCTGCCCACTCCTTGACTTCTGGTACTTCACGTAAGCCAACGCCAGCTTTCACAATACATATCTCTTTATGCTTCCCAAGATCAGACAATATCCATAGAGCCATCTCACGAACCACATCATGCATAGTCACATAAGATTTACATTTCGTCCATCTTACTTCCAGCAACAAACATGCACGAACGAGGGTACCAATTATCTTATAACCTTGGTTAAAGGCTTTCTCTCTACCTTCCTTTTCATCTATGAAACCCTCACAGATCCAGTAGTCTATCAATTTCTCTTTTTTTTTATCATGTAATCTTCAGGAAACAGAGAGCAGTACTGGAAACATGATTTGACAAGCTCCCCACTCAAATTATCATAGCTATATTTCAAAATTGGAAGAATATGGTCTTCCATACCAGGAAACTCTGCACCAGAAGAAGTTAGTACGTCAACTGCATGGCGCCATTCTTGTACCGTCCTCTGGCACGCCATAGTTTCACCGATGATGTTCAGCGCCAGTGGTAAACCACGACATTTTTTAGCAACTTTACACGCCAGCTCAAGAATATCTGGGTGGCTTTCTAATGTGATTTTCCCAACTTTGATACGGAACAAATCCCACGCTTCATCAGATGCCAAACATTTGACTTCAATGGGATCATCAACCCCCATGTGGCCACATACTTCCCTTGAACGAGTAGTGAATACTACTTTGCATCCCTTTTCTCTTGTCGGAAATGGGACTCCAATTTCTTGTAACTCCACTTTCCTCCAAATGTCATCCAATAACAGCACAAATTTCTTTTTCTTCATTTGAGAGTGTATATCGGTGACCTTGTGTCGTTTCTCTTTTAGGTTCCACTCCTCTCCACGGAGGCCTAACTTCTCAGCGATCTCATCTTGAATCTAATCGACTCGTAGCTCTCTGGACACCACAACCCAAATGACAATTTCAAACCCATCATTTGTGCCAAGAAACCTATTGTTGATCTGTGCTAGAAGTGTTGTTTTTCCTACTCCACCCATACCGTAGAGACCCATAATCCCGGTTCCTTCATCTATGAGGTGGTTCCATGCCCTTTCGATCATTATATCTTGACCAATAATCGTCGGTTGTAGAGACATCTCCACCACCACATCTTTCGTACGTGGCCCAGCCACCACTTCAAAAACTCCATCAGATTTGAGATCTTCAACCTCTTTCAACATCTCAAAAACCTTTTTCCCGTAGCTATAGTACAAAGACCACAAAGACATAACCTTTCAAGTTCAACTGTAGGAAGAAGCAATTCATTCACTTTGTTTTCGACATTCTCGACACTCGTAGGCCATACCTGAACCTCGTTAAGCCTTTGTAGACCTTGCCTTTCTTCCCTATGCACCTTTGTCAACACATCAGCTCGCTTTGCTCTGAGTACCTCTATGGCTCTCTCCAGAGCCGCCAGATTCTTATCAAGGTTACAAATATAATTGACTTCACCGCCAAGGCAGCTACAGACATGGTTCATTACTTGATCAAGGGCACACGAGAAACTAACACCCATCGTGCAATTTGCGAATTACGAACAAGATGTTCAGAACTTTAGATTATTAGATTGTTGGTAATTTTGTGAATGAGTTCAAGTCGTCTATCGATATACATCATCACCCACAATCGAGACATTGAAATTTAATATAGCAAAAATTTCCAAGGATATCAAAGAATATTATAGTATATATATATTAGTAATAACTAATAACAATACCCAACTTGGAATTTAGAGGTAATTTTGTTGCGTCCAAGTCGTCCCTACATTAAACAATGGAGAGTTTTCCAATAGTTTTGCAAGAACAACAACGACTAGGCTAGTTGCAGGCGCAATTAAAATGGTTCCGACGTTTTTGATTTTGTTAAATAATAGGGGCGAGCAACTATGTCAACAAAACCATATTATTTGACTTTTCATACATCACATAGCCTTGCCGGCCTAAGCGGAATGTTAAACCAGTTTAGAAATTTTCCAATGAGAGTAATGGGTGTGGGGTTTTTCTATGATATGATATGGATGCTTTCTTGAAATTGAAATTCTGAATCCCTTTATTGCCAAACAAGTAATTTTATTTGAGTAAGTGCAATGTTCACATGATAAATCCATTTCAACTCGGAAAGCTTTGGATGTAATTTGTTTCAGACTAGTAGTATTTCATCAGATATATGAAATCTACATTTTCTTTAAACTAAATTTATTTGTGCTTTAATCGTATCTTCTTCTTTTTTTATGAGTTTTAAACAAACATGTCAAATGATGTAATAGACATATGCACATACGAAATAGAGTCTTCAAAGAGTGTTCCAAATGAGTCTTTAGTAAGAAGATATAATCTTTTACAAGGTTTCCAAAGGCCTCTAAAATTATTATTAGAACTTCTTTCTTTTCCTGTTCTTAAAACCTTATTTCATTGAAAACTTAAACAAACAAAATTCTATGCTTAACTTTTTTTTCGTTCCCTGATTGTATTTTTCTTACGCTAGTATTGGTGGGAAATTGATTTAGAGCCTTGAAGGCATTCCTCCGGCAACAACCAAAGTTTCTCCGGTGATGTAAGAAGAGTCATCTGATGCTAAGAAAGCCGCCGCGGCAGCCATGTCTCCCGTTGTTCCCAACCTGTTAAGCAGAGTCTTCTCTTCAATGCCTTCCCTCTGAGCACACCACAATTTTTCTGTTAATATGATTATTCCACCACTTGAGATACAATAATAACCTCAATCTAACAGTCATATAACATTACCACTTGGGAGTTTCCGGTGATGAAAGAAGCAAAGTGTGTGGGCACGAAACCTGGAGCAACCGCGTTCACACGTGTGTCCGGACCCATCTCAGCAGCAAGTGCCTTAAGACATAATGTTCAACGTCATCATCATCATCATTTACATTCAGTCATGAGATGGTGGAGACTGGAGACACTTGAACATACCTTGGTTAGTCCGAGAAGAGCTGTCTTAGTGACACCATACATAGCCATGGCTCCTTGTGGTGAAAATCCAGCAATGGAAGTTATGAAGATAACCGAAGAACCCTTCTCTAGGTGAGGAGCTACATCCTTAAAAAATAAAAACACAGAGAAAGAGTCAAATCGAATCCAAAACTGAATCTATCTACCACTTTAATCTGTTTTGCATCATTTTGACTGGGAAGCTTTTACCTGAAGGAGAAGAATGGATGCTTTGACATTGATTTCCCAAAGCTTGTCAAGAACAGCTTCTTCGCTCGACAAGATTGGGTCTGTTGATGGATTCGCAGCCGCGTTACATACAACGATATCTATCTTCCCATATTTCTGAAACCAAACAGAGAAAAGGCAATTGTGATCTCTCTTTTAAGTAAACCAAATAAGCAACTTCTTGGTCATGTAGAGATAGATGTTCACAATCTCACTTCAAGTTTTTTGCAGTGACTTTAAAGTAAGATTTAGCATTGAACCAAGAGCTCATGATAAGATCTCTCTTTACCTGAACAGTCTTTTGGACAAGATTCCGGCGATGTTGAGCATTGGAAACATGGCAGACGATTCCATATGCATCAATCCCTTTGGATTTGAGTTTCTCTACTGCCTCCTCAACATTTGCCTGTACAGATAATCATGGATTGTGAGGATTAGAAGCAAAATCCCAAACAAACTCTGAAATTGCGGTGATTCACTTCACCAGCAACAAATTGAAATTCCGACTTCCGAGAGCCAAAGAAAAACTCATAGTGATTCATCGTCAATTTTGGTATAACAGCAAATCCGTAACAAATCAAAATCCAACAATTTCAGCAATTCGAGCCACAGTACAATTGCAAACAAAAGATCCGTCACTAAGAAGGTCGAGAAAATCTTCAATTCATCGTTTTTTAGATTCAAAATCCGAAGGTATGAGAGAAATTAGGGAGATGGTGGAAACCTGCTTGCGGGAAGAGACGACGACGGAAGCGCCTTCGAGGCCGAAACGCTCAATGATGCCGAAACCAATCCCTTGCGTCGAAGCCGTCACAATCGCTACCTTTCCTTCCAATCTTCTCGGTATCTTCTTCTCCATTTCTATCTTTCTTCTTCTTCTCGCTCTCTCTTTCTCTCTCTCTCTATGAGTTACGTTTGAAGCCAGTAAAAGCACTAATCATTTGACTGTACTAACCTCAATACTCTGCATATTTTACTCTTGGTTCATGTTAGTATTGAGGGACTATGGTGTTAATAGATAAGCTTATTTTAGCATAGCTAGCTCATGTTAGCACAGAATTTATTTTAGAAAATAACATGATTGTGCCGTATGATTGATTGTGAAAAAATGTTAGAAAATAACATGATTGTGCCATATGACAGATCTTAAAAACTTAGTACCAAGTTGATTGTGCAAAACAGAGAATGAAATTTCAAAAGACAATTTAGAAAGGAAGCATAATAAATTGTAAAACCCTTGACCAGCTTTATTATGCAAGTTATTATGTTATAAGCAAAAAACTAATTGCATCATATGGAAGATCAATTATTAAATAGATATATATATATATACAAACATATACAAGATCAACACAACTAACTCTCTGTGAGCACGTACTAGAAGGTAAATCAAATTAAAAATATTTTTAGTTGCATCGGGAATATGGAGAAGAAAACATCATATGTGTCTTTTGTACCATAACTTCTTAATTTTAACATTAATTTGGGACCTTTTTTGTTCTTTCTTGTGAGATGAAAGGGATATTCAGAAAAGAGTTGTTGCAAGCATAACAAATGGCACCGAAGAAGTTTTCAAATCTCATATTACCTTTGTTAGTGATGTTTACCATCATCACTTTACCCACCATTTCAGGTAACACAAACGCATGAAATGAGTTTTGTTTCGATTCGGAATTCTTTTTTTTTTTTTAACTGAGATGTTTTTACTGGCCGAGTTAAAGTCACTAAACAAAAACAGAAGTGTTTGCATTTGCAATTTTTACACGGTGAAATATTAAACTGATCATTAATGTACTTCAAATTTTTTGGTTATGTGTTTTGTTCATAGGACAAAAACACACATTCTGTAAGGCTCCATGTGGTGGCACACCAGAATGCAATAAACAATGCATCTCTATAGGTTACAAACAAGGAGCTTGTCGTCTAGGGGTCACTATCCGTATTTACTATTGTTGTTGCGACCCCAAGGTTGAATATCAAGATGATTCTCTCATTTCTGGTCCTCCTTATAACTAACAAATTTCTAATGCTATATGTATTCTCAGTTATATGAATGGCAAAATATATTAATATTCAAATATGACATATTTGCTCATCCAAGCTTTACGCTGATTACGTTGCTAATTCACAACCTGATGAACACAAGAGAGCGTGTGATGCCAAGAAATGTCATTTTTTTTAGTTGGCTCAAGTCTCAAAGTGACCGAATGAAAATAAAAGATGCCAAAAGATAGAAGATAAACCAATTCACTAAAATTCAGAGAAACACAAGACATGAATCCAACTATTTTAACAGATTCACAAACTCTCAAAGTTCATAAAAAACTTTTTTAATCATAGGGATTTCTGAACTTCTTCAAGAGATCTGGAATGTCGTATCCAAGCATATCGTCCACTGCTTGAATCATCTTCGGCTTCAACTTCTCGAACTTGTCAATGTTGTAGCCTCCCAAAACTTCTTTGAAATGCTCCACACTTGGGAAATCTCCAGCCGGAAGATGATACTCTTGTTGCACCTGATTATTTTTCACACACATGAAAATAAGATTTCCATAATCTGAAAATCAACTCTGAAAATACGAGATAAAAAAGTTATCTAGAGAGGTGTGTGTTGTAGTCTAACTTCTGGTTTGGTTTACAGTCAAACTAATTTGTGGTTAAGGACATGATGAAAGAAACAAATTTAAACTCCAATTCTTAATTTGTAAACCCTATTAGGCAATACATGATACGATAAGTCTAACATTTGGCTACTAACCTTTCCAAACTCTTCTTGGAGATTGTCCATAAGGCGTTGCTGAGCTTTGGATTTGCCCATCATTGCTGGCATTTCCTTCTTAAGGTGACTCATTATGTATGCATTGATCTTCGCAGCTCTAGCTCGCTTCACAAACTCATTAATCTGCAAACAATCACACACACACGAATGGGCACGTTTCTTTTTCAACCTTCCCAAATTCTGAATATAGAGATGTTTACTTAAATGTGACTCATTAGAGGCATTACCTTTCTGTCACATGCTTTCTTTGGAATGTCCATCAAATCTGCTAGAAGATCATTTTGCTCTTTCTCAAACAGCTCTTTTCCAATTGGTCCAACTACAGCTTCGTTTATGGGTTTGTCATTGAAAGACCTTCACAAGAGCAAACCAAATTAGTGTGTATCCAAATAAAATCAAACTCACGGTTTAGGCACTTCAATTCAAAAAACATACCCGATATAAACTCGTACGACCTCTGGTGTGTTGAGGACTTTACCAAGGGACCACATTAAAGCTCCATACACTCTCATTAGCTACTATACAAAAGTTTTAGATCCGATCAACAAAGAGTAAAAGTTGAAG